GGGACCAGGGCCTAAGGGACCTGCAACTCCCAGAGGCACTCAGCTGGCCTGTTTCCAGTGAATAAAGCTCTGTTGACAGCTCTGAGTGCCTGTGTGCATCCTTGCAAAGGTGGGCAGTGGGTTAGGGAATTTGGCTGCTGCGTCAGGGTCCTCCAGTCCTGCTGGAGTCAGAAGTGTGGTCTCTGGGGGGCCTGGGCGTAAACTGGAGCCTGGGGAAGAGAAAAGGAAGGAGTATTAGGCCAGGGTGGTGCACAGCGTAACATGCATAACTGATAACCAAATGGTTGCTAATTTAAGTACATCCAGAGGCACTTTGGCTTTAAGAAAGGCCTGGTGATCACTTTTGATGGGGTGGAATCTATTGAAACCCCTATGGAGCACACATGGGGTTGCCATGAGTTGGAATTGACTTGAGGGAATCTGGGTGCTCTAGTTGCTATGCCATGGGGAAAGCCCATGTCAGGCAGGCCTGAGTTTGCTTTCACTCTCCTATTTGTGCCGGCTTGCTTACATGACTTCTGGAATGTCTTCCCTATCCTTTTTGTTTTTGTTAGAATCGTATGTTACCAAGTCAGTTCTGTTCTGACTCACAGCAACCCTGTATAGAATTTCCAAGGCAGTAAATCTTTACAGGAGCAGAGAAAGTCTCATCTTTCTCCCATGGTGGAATAGGTCTATTTGATTTCCTCTTCATTTGGAAGTCTGTAACTATATTATTTGCTGTTTCTACTTTGGTTTTTTGTTGTTGCAACTGTGTCTTTAGTTCTCTGTTTTCAGTCATTTAGGTCGGTTTTACTTTGCATACTTCTATATCTGGGTTGTATCTAGGTCATATTGGCTGCTGCTGCTTCAGTGTCCAAAGAACTCTAGTATTTTTTCTAAGGTTGGTCTGGTTTTCACAAATCCTTTTTTAGTTTTTATTTGTCTGAAAATGACCTAATTTCACTATCATATTAGATGGACAATTTTGCTGGATATGTGATTCTTGGTTGGCGATTTGTTTCTTTCAGAGCTGTCTTATATACATCATTCCATTGCCTTCTTGCCTGCATGGTTTCTGTTGAGAAATTAGTTTAGTCTTTTTCTCCTTTTTTTGTTTTTCCTGAACTGCTCTCAGAATTCTTTCCTCGTCTTTGGTTTTGAAAACTTTGATTGTAGTATATTCTTGTGCTTTCTTTTGGGGTCTATCCTGTTTGGTGTTTATTCAACTTCTAACAGCTCTTGGACAATATTCTCTATGAAGTCTGGTCTCTTCCTGTTCTGGCATTCCAATCTCATATTATTCTTCTTGATAGTGTTTTACATAAATCTTAGGCTTTCTTCTGATTTTTTCTTTTCTTTTCTGATTCTTCCTCTATCAGATGAATAATGGGAAATTTTTTCTTCAAGCTCAGTTATTCAGTTTTCCATAGATTCAGTTCTATTTCTTTGCCCTTTCAGTGTATTATGTATTTCTGAAGTCTTACTTCTAACGATCTGCTTTTTTAATTGCTAGCTTTGTATGGTTCCCATTTTTTCAATTGTTTTGTCAGTTTGTTTCCTGAGTTTTTCCATAGTTTTGTCTATGTTTTCTTTGGTTTTATATGGAGTTTAAGTTGCCTAATTATCATTCCTTTAAATTCCTTATATGATTCTATTTTTGGTGTTATATTTTCTAATTTGTGTTTTGGTCTATTATTTGAGGCACTCTGTCTTGTTTCTTTGTGTATGCTGAAATTGTCTGCTTTTCTGAGACATTGTGTTAGTGTAGTGTAGTGCAGGGCGGGTTCACATGCTTCTAGAAACAGGGATGCTATGCCAGTACCCGACTCCAGGCAGAGCAGAGGCTGTGCAGGAGGGACTGCCACTGGTCACTGGGTTGGTGAGGGTGGGGATTGGCCATATCCCTGGCTACCAGGAGGGCATCGAAACAAGGGAGAACTGATCCCCTTCCTGCCAGACTCCAGCTGCATCCTGTGCCTGTAGGTCACTGTATCTGCAGCCAATCACAAAAGCTTAAGATGGCCACACACACCAACCCACAGTCTTCTTGTTTTTCTTCTCTTCTCTGTTCCTGGTCAGCTTCCTCGTCCAGTTGGCACTCAGTCCACCTCTCTCTCCTATCCACTGATGCTCAGGGGTCCAGGGTCACCATCAATAATGCTTCATTTGATCTCTCATGTCTTTGTTGCAGACGGTCTGCTCAGCATGTCTATTGACTCTCCCAGCTTGCTCCCAGACCTCCAGGAGCTTTTTGAAGTCCCTGGGAGATGGGATTGGCATGAGTTGGAATCAGTTCCACAGTAGCGGGTTTGGTTTTGGATTTGGTGCACTTTCTGCTTGAGCCAGTCTTCCCTGTTTTTCCTGAACCTGAGGATACTGGAGTTTCCTTGTTTCCTGGATTCTGATCTATGAGGGTGACTAAAAAGTTATCCGCATTCTGGCTCTAGAATTTATTTTATCAACTTTTAGAAAAGACAAATTCGTCATTTTTAGACTTAAGCTCCTTATTTCTCAATACTCTTCGTCCATCTGCCAACAAGTTTTTGTATTCCCTTATTTTAAAATGTTTTAGGCTGAGCTTCTAGCCACTTCTTCATCAGAAGTGAATCTTCATCCTTGAAGGGCTCCTTTCAGCGGACCAAATGTGAAAATCTGATGGAACAAGATCAGGACTATAGGGAGGATGCTTTAACACCTCATAATGAAGTTTCTGCAGAGTGTCAACAGTGTAGGCAGAGGTAATGGGACATGCATTGCCATGCAAGATCACAAAACCCTTGGACTGCAGTCCTCTGCATTTAATCTGAAGTTTAGGCTTCAGCTCTCCAGTGAGCATCTCATTGTAAGGAGCACTGTTGATTGTTGAACCGTTTTCCTGATAGTGTTCCAATACTGGCCCTTGAGAATCCCAGAAAACTGTAAGCATCAATTTTCCAACTGATGGTTGACTTTGGAACTTTTTCTTGGTTTTGAGGATGTTTCCATTCTCTGCTCTGCCATTTTACTCTCAGGCTCCTAGTGATGAATCCATGTCTCATCATCAGTAAAAAATTTTTAAAGAAACTTTTTACCTTTCTTTGAATAGCAGTTCAAATGTTGTTTGCAGATGTCCAAACGCTTCTGTTTATGCTCTTCGGTGAGTTGTTTCAGTACCCAATTTGCACAAACTTCGAAACCCAAGTCTGTCAGTGGATTAATTCCTAGGCAGAGCCATGACTGATTTGCAAATGGTTTGCCACTTAATACAGTGTCGCTGGTCTATTCAGTAGAATCATTTCACATGCATACTCAATGTGGTCATCAGCCATGGACATGGATGGGCATTTTAGTATAACCAGAGTGCAGATAATTTTTGACTCATGCTCATACCTTCAGATCCCTGGAGTGGTTGTCTCTGTGTGTGTATGTCTGTGATGGGCTGGACTGTGGCTGCAGGTGAAGAGCAAGCAGTTGAATCCCAGGACCCTGGAGGTCTGCCTCTAGCTCACCTATGGGGCCCGGCCCCCATTGGTCATATTCTCCCTCACATGACCAGTAAGAGTGGAAGAAAAAGGGTAGAGGGTGCCCCCCACCTTCCAAAAATGTGTGTTGCCCACAGGAACATAAAACCTGAAAGTGTCTTTTGCAATCTGGAGGAGGTAGTAGTGGGGTCGGTCAGGATGGAACTCTAAGCTTACCCTCCACTTTCACTTGGGTTGAGAGCTGAGCAGATTGCGGGACTGGCCAGCCTTCTACTGCCACTGGTAGGGCCTAGCTTGGGTTGTGTTAGAGGAGGTGAGCCTTCAGGAACTTTGTGGTCAACCTCAGACTGAGTGACTCAGCCCACCCAGGCTAAGCCCAGCACAGCCACTCAGTCACTTCAGTTTTAGAAAGCCTTGACTTTTTTTTTCTTCCCTTCCCCCAACTTTCTGTGCGCAACTGGGATAATCAGGAGAGGGAGGCCATCAAGGAGAGGCTTGGCTCCTTCTAGTCTCTGTTTAATGTGGGGATAAACATTTGATGAGAGAAGATAAACTTTCAGAGCTGGAAGCTAAGAACCCCCTTTTCCTCCACCCCCACTTGGAATTTCATCGACAGACCTGAATTCTTTTTCCTTCTAACCTTACCCCTTATCTAGCCCTCCCGCTGCCCTGCGGTCATTGCTGCATTCCGGAGCGGGGGCGCCTCCTGGTGGTCATCGCAAAACGACTTATCTGTTGTTATGTGCCGATTCCGACTCAGAGCGACCCTGTACAAGGTTTCCGAGGCTATAAATCTTTATGGAAGCAGAAAGCCTCATCTTTCTCCCGCGGAACAGCTAGTAGTTTCGACCACTACGCTACCAAAGTTCCTTAGACATGCAGATACTACTATCTAGACTCCACTTCTTTAGCAAGGGTGACAGCGAAATCGTTCTCTGGTCGTTTAGGGACCAAGCAAGCAGCTGCAAATGAGAATCCATGGTTTCTTTTTGCTAGACTGGGACAGGGGTGTGTGTGGTGTAGGCAGACCCAGCTAGTTCACATGGCAACTTTGTGTGAGTTAGAAAAAGGTGTCCCTTTTTCTGGGTGGACAGCCCCATAGTAGGAGGGCACCCCTCTCAACTAGGCACTCCTGTTTCATGCACAACCTATATAAATTGGGTGGTAACTCTTTGAAGCTGCCTCTCATCCCTCTTGCCCCACTTCCTGTAGCTCTTGTCCCATATTTCCATCCCACCCAAGAATCCTCTTTGTCCAAGGCCCCCACTGACTTCCAGAACCAGGGCCAGCCCCCATTAAACAAGAAAGGCTGAAGCCAGTGGGAGGGTTTTTGAAGATTTATTGAATGATCTCTAAGAAAAGAACTAGTCCTGAGAGCAGGAGGAAGGGGAGGGCCCTGAGAAACAGAGGACCAAGAGGAGATCACCCCACTGTAGGGTCCTGGGCACCCACACCTAACAGCAGAGCACAGCACAGCACAGCACAATCCTTTGGTCTTGGGCAGAAATCCAGCCACTGCCCTGTGCAGCCGGCCCTGTGGCAAGCTGAAGCCCTCAGCCCACCACCGTTTACACCATTTCAGGGGGTCCAGACCTCCCAGAAAATGTGACTGCCAGTGTCACACACCCTCCTCCTTTAGAATGAGAGGGTAGGCTTACTTTCCAGTGGGCATCAGGCAAAAACGGGGGAGTTGTGCCAGTCCGAATACACCAGAAATCCAGAGAAGGTGCTATCCGTCTTGATGCTGGCATAGATGCCAATGTAATCACCCACACCCACCTGCACCCACACCTGGTCCTCAGGCTCCAACCTCACCATGGCGCCCCCGGAGAGTGAGGCTGGCTTTGGCCACCCCCCAAAAAATTGGAAGAAAGAGGCAATGGACTCGCCATTCTTCACCAGATCAAACTGCAGACTGGCCCGATAGACAGTGGCATGGACTGCAAAGTAGTAGACTCCTGGCACTTGGCAGGTGAACTTTCCGGTGGTGGCGTCGTAATGTCCCTGCTCGTTCACAAGCACGCGGTCGAACGGTAGGGGCGTGTCGGACGGCGGAGGCACCCGGCTTTCGGAGCGCTTGGCACTGAAAGCAGAGCGCGGGGGCACCGAGCATTCCCCGGCAGGCCCAATCGCCCCCACCGGTCCCGCTTCTCCTCGCGGCCCGGTCTCCCCGCGGGGCCCCGGCAGCCCTGCGTAGGGGAGAAGTGTGAGGTTAGGAGAATGCAGCGGCTGGGTCAGCCCACCGTGGTCACTTCCCCGGATCTCTCCACACACAACCCGCCAGCGACGTGCAAGGCTTGTGGCAGATCTACGAGGGGCTTGTCGGAGTGGTCCGGGGGAGTTAGGGTTCCCGCGGGCTGAGTCACTCCTGGGCTCCCAGAGTAGCGCGGGAATGGGCGGGGACCGGCAGCAGCGCCCCCTCGCGGGAACCCAGAGCCCAGCAGGGCGGGAGGGCACTGCCGAGCCGCGGCAGTTCCAGTTCGGTTGCCCCAGGGTCCGCAACAAAGGCATCTTCTTACCTGGACTCCCGCCCTCGCCTTTCTCTCCCGGAATCCCGGGCACACCGTCGCGACCATCGCGACCGTCGCGGCCAGGCAGGCCCTGGCTGCCATGGTGACCCGGCGTTCCTGGAAGGCCGGGGTGCCCCGGGCACAGGTTGGGGATCTTGTTGTCGTCCAACGGGGGTGAGCAAGCTGCAAGGGCCAGGAGCAGCAGAGCCAGGAGCGGCCTCATGGCACTGACACGGGGAACCCGGACGCCGGGGTCCTCTCGTAGTCTGTGGGCAAGGCAGGACTGGAGTAGGGTCCCATAATCCCGAGACCTGCCACGCTCCCCCATCCCAGCGCAGAGGGGTCGGTCCCCACCCCACTGACTCCCCCCTGAGACTGTGAGGCTGCCTGGGCAGAGGTGGGGGTGCCCCAGACCCAATTACCCAGCGAGGTCAGCGCTCCCCTCTCTTCCCCTCCAATACCAGCCCGCTGGCCCAGTCTTTCCCACAGTCCCCTCCCACTCCCCATTCCTTCCCCCCTCTTCCGCCAGACTCACCCCACTCCCGGCTCCTGGGCCTGCTCCATCTCTGTGACTCCTTGGGGTGCTTGCACACCGGACCCTCTAGTTGGGCACTGCTCCGCCCCTGCGCTTCTCCTCAGCTGGAAGCCCCGGCCCTCGCTGCCTCTCTGAGCCTGGTTCGCTCCCAGCCGGCTCCGTTCTGCTCCTCCCAGACTCCAAGAGGAAACCAGTTGTTCAAGGGCCAAAAACTCCAGGCCGGGAAATAGCAGGGAAATAACTCGTGGTGTCGCCCGGCGGCCGGCCAAAATTTGTGGGGGAGAAGGGAGGGGGAGAGTTACTTGAGCCCTGCACAGAAGAAGAACTCGGAGAAACAGAGAAATGGCTTGTGAGTTGCTGTGATTCTGGAAGCTATTACACCGGTATTTTAAATACCAGCAGGGTCACCCATGGTGGACAGGTTTCAGTTGAGCTTCCAGACAAGACAGACTAGGTAGAAGGAGTGACAAACTACTTCCGAATATTTAGTCACTGAAAACCGTATGAATAACAGAGAAACACTGTCAGATATGGTGCCAGAAAATGAGCCCCTCGGGTTGGAAGTGGCAGCATCAATGGACTCAAGCGTGGCAACGAAAGTGAGGTTGGTCCAGGATCCAGCAGTGTTTCATTCTGCTGTGCACAAGGTCGCTATGAGTGAGTACCAACTCGATTTCACTTAACAACAACAAACCCCTCCAAAGAGCGCAAGGAGAAAAGGGGCTGCTGAGACAGCCACCAAGGAGGAAGCTCTGCTCCAGGGAGAAAGAGAGGCAGAGAACTAAGAGTGGAAAATTTTAGAAGCAAACACATAGCTGGGTTCCCAGGGCTTAGAGCAGAACCTGCTCTAAGTAGTAGGAACTAGATACATTTTTGTTGAATAAATGAGAAAATAGAAGGGCTGATATACAGCCTGAAAAAAATGAGATGGAAGTGGGGGTGGGGGGAAATGAGGTGGGTGGAAGGTAGGAAACATGGGTCAGAAACTTGGGTGGGAACTAATCTAGAATGGAGCCAGGCCAGCTGCCAGGGATAGCTGGGATAGGAGAGGGACAAGGTGGGAGGTAAGAGGTCCCATTAACCTTTGTAAAGCACTTTTCTTTTTCCCCATTCTTGGGAGCATGGGCAGAGTCCCATGCTGGTCCCCTGTTCTTTGTTCCCCTGCCCACCTGCCCAGATAAACAAAGGAGGGTGAGCAGGCAGAGGGCAGGGGTTGGCTTCAGGGGTCAGGGCTGGGCATACATCTCCAGGCCAACTTCCTCAGGTAGCCTGTTGCAGTTGAAGGGCTGGGGGGTGCCCAGTAGTGCCAGGCCACACTGGCACTGGCGTTCTGCCTCCTGGCAGACAGAGCGGCAGGGGGGAAGGACACTGGCCAGTGGGGTGCAACGGGGCACCAGCAGCCCACAGAGGAGCCTCCAGAAGTTCTGGTAGCAGGGTAAACTTGTCAGGCTCTGTAGAAGAAGACCACTCAGGCAGCTGTTCCCCAGGCTCCCTCCCTGTCCCTGAGAGTCCCTCCCTCTCAGCGCAGAGCACCTTGTAGCCTCTGAGGACCTCCACCACCTCCTCCTGGGTGGCCATGCCCACCCAGATGTTAGGGAAGGCCGTGGTGTTGTAGCTCAGACTGATGCACATCTCCACCTGGATGGGCTCACAAGCCTGTGGGGAGGATGGGGTCACTGTAGATACCACTCACTGGCTGTGTGACTTGGGGCAGATCACCTAACCACTCTGAGTCATTTCTATATGGATCAGCTGGGCGTTGTAGGAATCAAAGAAGGTAACATGGCAATTCCTGTTATCCATGAGAACTTGCTCCAAGCATCATTCATCTGCCCCAGATATCATGGGGGCATCTCAGGAAATTGGATTGCTTGGGCATCTGGAAGAAACACCTTTGCTCCCTGTGTAAACTCTCACCTTCATCTTTTGGGGTGGGTTGGCTGTGGAGAGGTGTACTGTGTGGACATCAGCTCACAGAATACTATTTCCCTTGGGGTGACATTAAGTACTGATGCCACCATCAGATGGGCTTCAGGTGAGAGGCCCATCTCTAGGCTTGTGACATGGTCAAGACGCAGGGAAGTGAGGCCCAGCCTCTGCCCCGCCCCCCCAATCTGGAATTATTGGGATGGGATGTTATGTGCTAGCAGGCTTCGATAAGATGGGCAGTCTAGGAGGCTCAGCCCTGCCAGGAACTCCCCATGGTTCCCAAGGGCAGATTTCTAACCTGGGGGTGGGAAGAGGGGGCAGCTGCAGTTGCTGTTACTGCTGCCCATTGTGCAGTCTCTCTGCATGTCACACTTCCACTGCAGATCCTTACACCCTCTGTCCTGGCAGGATAACTCTCTGGCCCCGCAGGGGTCTGCAATGCAAGGGGTGTGAAGGTAAATTCTCTACTGACCAGAGTCCGGAGTCCATCCTGTACCTCAGGAGCTACCCACACCCACTTGCCCAGGGGTACCTACAGTCCGTGGCATTGAGGGCCTGGTAGGTGGCTGAGAAGCCTCCGCTGCTGATGCTATGATCTGTCCTAAAGAGCACAGCCAGTTTGTGGTGCAAGGAGACGAGGCATGGAGGTGACTCTGCTCCACAGAACCTGTCCAAAGGACAGGGCCTCTTGGCCAATGGAGGGTGCACTCAAGCCTTCTATAAGTTTATGGCTCCTTTGGGCTATGGCTGAGTGTTCTGGGGATGCTCGAGGTGCTGGGAAACACAGTTGCTGGCTCATGGAACTTAGAGTGTAGTGAGGAAGACACAGATAGTAAAGTATTAAGCAAACAATTTGAACTTGTGATAGAGCAGTGAGGGTTCATGGGAGGTGGAAATGGACCCTGCAGGGTGGGAAGAGCCAGGGTAGGGCTACAGGAGTGAAGGCTTCAAGATGAGAAAGTAGAAGCCCCTTTTTAAGTGACAGCGAGGACACTTCTGGCTAGGAGCAGCAGAGGAACATGAAGCTAAGGAAGATGGTGGGGCCAATGTATGCAGAGCCCTGAATGCCAGACTCTGGAGTCTGGAGTTGGACCAGAGTTCCTTTCCCTGGCTCTGCCTGTACCTGCCCAGGAGGCTCAGAGCCCCTGAGTTGCTGGTCTCATACACCTCCACGAAGTCAAGCTTGCACTCGTCCTGAATGTCCAGCCTGAAGTTGTGGAACTGCAGTTCTATGCTGTGTCCAGCAGGCACAGAGATATGCCATGTACAAAGCTGGAGGTGGGGTACAGGTAGAAAAGTTCATGGGCCCCTTCCCCTGTGACACTGTGGGCATCTGGGTTAAACTCTAGAGGAGGCACCTCCCTGGGCCAACTAGGCAAAGAATGGGTGGACTCAGACCCTCTTGTTCTCATCATTGTTGGCTCTTAAATCAGAAAAGACCTTTTAACGTTTCTGGCGCAGAGATAAGGCTACCCAGAGCAGAGACATCTGCGTATCTGAGAATTTGGCACTGCCGTTGGCCTTGTTACTACCATCAACACAGTTGGCACCCTGGCTCATGGCAACCCCATACACAATGGAAGGAAATGCTGCCCAGTCCTGTGCCATCCCTGTGATTTGGTTATAGATTAGACTGTTGTGACCCAAAGGGATTTCATTGGTTGATTTTCAGAAATAGATTACCAGGTCTTTCTTCATAGACTGTTTTAGCTCCACTGAAACCTCTTCAGCATCATAGCAACACACAAGCCTCCACTGACAGACACTGAGGTACACTGGTCAGAAATTGAACCCAGGTCTCCCACATGGGAGGTGAGAATTCTAGTGTTGCCCTACCAGTCACTCGACAACATTTCCTTCCGACTTGATTTCTGACTTTCCCAAGTACATACAAGACAGTATCTGTCATGAAACTTGGCTCTTACCTGTTGATGAGGGTGCAGCTGCAGGTGGTTGGGAGTAGAGAAAGTGCCCTGGAGCTCAGTCAAATTCCCCCCACATCCTGTGGAAGGAGGAGGGGCACAAGTGTTTGCCAGGGCCTGTGCCTCTAGCCCTTCAGCCCAGGGGAGACAGGTTCTGAGAATGCAGGTGGGGGCATGGAGGTTTGAGGTTGGGGAGCCCAGCCTGATCACATGCCTGAAGACAGTGCCCACTCCCCAGCCCAGCAGGACTTGTACCTGGGGACTTGGTACTGCAGTTGGCACTGCTGTCAGCATAGTTAGCAAAGCCATCGCACACTGAGTCGGAGAGCAGGCAGAGGAGCTGGTCACAGGAGGATTCATTGTGGGCACAACTCCCTGGGAATGTACATCTGGATCCAGAAACCCCCAGATTTTCCACTCCTTTGTCAGGGCTGGCGGTGACAGGTGGGGCACTTTACAGTAGATAGGGGTTCAATGGGAAAATACCATGCCCAGGGCTCACAGCCTGGTACCAGGCATGGAAACCGAATCCTTCCACACTGCTGTCAGAGACGAAGGCCACCCCGAGGCAGCTGACTTTGGTGTTGAGTGTGAGGGGAGGTACCCTCCCACAAACCCTGCAAGAATTCAGGCTGCATGTGATGAAGGCTCAGAGTTCAGGGCTAGCTGGAGGGGAGGCTGCTCCAGCCCCGAACTTGTGATGATGTGGTCAAAATCCTCCGTTAGCTTCCAGGGAGTGTCACTCTCCCTATCCCCTGCGTACCCATCCTTTGCTGTACCTTAGTCACAGGGAAGACAGGTAGGAATGCCACTTTACAGATCAGTACATTTCCATCAGAGAGAGGAAGTGACCTACCCAATGTCACACGACAAGAACCAGAGCTGGACCCAGAGATCAAGTCCCTTGGTTTCCTCCCAGTCCAGTTGTTTCTGCTGCAGTGCACTGATCTTACCCTCCAGACGCCGGTTCATGGGCAGGATAGAAGGGGAACCTTATGAGGGCAGACACCCACATGAGCAGGGGCCCTTCAGGTTCAGGTGAGATCTTCAAGAGATCAAAAAGACAGGAAGCCACAGTCTCCACGCTGAGAATGATTATCTTGAGTTGCACTGTATGGTCAGGGGCCACCTGAATATGCCACATGCAGTGGGCATTGGGTGGGTACTGGCTGGGGTAGATGAGACTGCTGAAGAAGCCCCTTAGGCCAGTATGGAGTCCCCCACAGGCTGCAGAAATGGAGGTCAGAGATCAGAGGCCAGAGGAGAGAGGTCCTTTTTTTTTTTCCCAAGGTGCCTCTTCTTGGTCTCCCTTTTCCTCTGCCTTCTTGGCCTCTTCTGCAGGAATATCTGCCTGTAGTACTCACTGGACTGGGGTATAGGGTTCATACGTGTCTTCTGCTGTCCTTGAGGAGTCCCAGTTGTCTGAGAGGTGGTCCTGGTGGTAGCCCCCAGGCCTTGGACAGGCAGTGGGCTATCGTAGGCCATGGATGGGGATGTGCCCTGCAACTCTGGAAACAAGACGATGGAGGTGTGGGATGGAGAGGCCACTAAACCTCAGGCAGGGGTGGCATACAAGTAGTACCCAGAGCCTCGATCTAAACCCGTTTTCCAAGCAGGCTCCTGAGTACATACGGGCGACAGTGATGGTCACCAGTAGCCCAAGCAGCAGCAGCAGTAGGCCAGTCAGCAGAAGGACACAGAGCCAGGAGAAGTGGCAGTCTGGCTGTGGCCCTCGGAACGCCGACGTGTAGGCAGATAGGGTGGGAGTTGTGAGAGCCCTCCCCTTGGGTGGCCCCCACACTGTCCTCAGTTCCCTTCTTCCCAGGCCACCCCGTGATTACCATGCCAGGGGACTTGGAGGTTGCAGCTGGCATCTTGCTGGAAGGCAGGTGGAGGACAAGGTGACCCTGATTCAGGCTCAAATGCAGGATTGCAGAATTCGGTCTGCAGGGAAGAGGCTTGAGGGCTGAGGCCCCAGAGCAGCACTGCCTGGCAGAGTGTCAACAGCACTGTTAGCCCCAGGTAGGTACCTAGGAGAGCTGCCTGAGTTGCCCCTTACCTTGCTTAGCTCCATGGCCTCCACACACAGGATGACATCTGAGTAGTCCTTCATGGCCCAAGGCTCTGCATAGCTCTCTGGAGCCCCCCTCGATAGCCTAAGACTCCTAGGGCCCACTTTCTGACTCCAGGTCCCTCTCAGAGGACCAGCTTTTATTCCCCAAAGGAAAAGGCTGCCAGGCTAGACCAGCTCTCTGAGAGGCTGTCCTTGCAGGCTGACTGATTCAGGCTCCTGGGTCCTGTGGTTCTGTGGGGGGTGGGGAGGCACAGCAGACTGCCAGAAGGAATTTGAAAAGGTATGAAAGAGTCCCTTAATCCAACTCAGTTGAGGATGCTGAAGTAAGACCCCTGGGGCATTTGGCAGTTCTTAAAGGCCCATGGCTGTGAACAGAGGACACTATGTGTCCAAGTAGGGGTAGGCAAGTGTATGTAGTCTGGGACTTCACACTCCAAATCAAACCTGCTGCCTTCCAGTTGGTTCTGACTTACAGTGACATCAGGCATTTCAGATGAGAACTGTTTTCACAGAGTTTTCAAGGCTGTGACCTTTCAGAAGCTGATCACCCGGCTTTTCTTCTGAGGGGCCTCTGGGTGCAACCTTTGGGTTAGCAGCTGAGTGCTGGGAAGCTTACCACCTCCTTCCCCCCTTTTCACCTATGGTATGGAGTGAGCATGGGGGCTGCTGGGAGGGGATAGTGGGGCTGTTTCACAGGCATAATGGAGAACATGGGCATGGGGGCATTGGCCGCTTCAAGGTCCCTGAGTCCTTATCAGAGTGACTGGAACACTGTCTTTGGAAGGTGACTACTGAAACACTCATGCAGCTGAGACAAGGAAACAGCAATTATCATGAAGGGAGGGTGGGGTGGCCATGGAGTCCCTGTGTGATGCTGTAGGATTGTACTAGACTGCTAACCACAAGGTTGGCAGTTCAAACCCACCAACTGCTTCTTAGAAACCCTTGGCTGGGGCACTATGAATCAAAGCCAACTCAATGGTACAAAGACAACAACAGGGTAGGTCTGAGCTATTTATATCTGTGCTGACATTAGTGTGACATTTGAGGGGTAGGCTGCCTATTCCTGGACTCCTAAACCTGCAGGTGGAGCTAGGTGTCACAATGGTTAGGCACTCAGCTGCTAACCGAAAGGTCAGTAGTTCAAACTCATCAGCCACTCCCCAGAAGAAAAGACAGTGGCCATCTGCTTCCATAAAGATTATAGCCTAGGGCTGTGTATGCCCATAGCATTGGAGGCAGCAGGCTTTTTGTTTTTTAAGGTTTTTATTGTGGATTGAGTGAAAGTTTACAGGGCAGATCATCAGTTTTACATCCAACAAATAATAGACTTTGTTTCATTACAATGATTATAATCCCCTCCATGTACCATCAGTTCACAGTATTTCTCTCTATTCACTTTAGCTTTTTAAAAAAAAAAAAAAAATCACTCAGGCCTATATAATAATTTACATCTCCTCAAAGGGCACATTCTGCAAGTCTGCTCCTGGCCACCAGCTCTTAGTCCCTCTCTTCCCATGACTCTAGAGTCCTCAGCCGCTTCCCAGCTCCATGACTCCATCTCTGCCTCATCTCTGGCATCACTGCTTCTCTGGATAAGTTCCCACATTCTGCTTGTGCTCTCCTCCCTTGATGGTCCTAGGGTCTTCTGTTTCTGGACTGTAAGATTAACCACTTCCCTGTTTTTGTTACAAAAACTTCGACCATTCCAATTGTGAGAGTCTCAATTAGTCATGATAACAATTATTCACTATTGAATCATACAAATCTTATCCCCATCTCTTTTCACCAGACCGGTCTGGACAAGATGAAAACTATTCAGTGGGGACTCTTTCTTTTCCCCCATACTCTTAAACTCCCTCTTGAAATCTTATAAGCCAGTCACTTCATGCCTTTATCACCCCCTCATTTTAAGTAGCCAATGTCTAAATTGCCCATTCCTATCTACTACCCTGTATACAGAGGGGATAGCATCGATACTTGATGTGAAGACTTCTTCCCTCTCTGTTGGTATTTAGAGTTACTATCATGAGTATAGGTCAGGCTCATCAAATTGTAGCAATTTACCCCTGTTTCCTTTATCAAAAAAATTTTTTTGTTTGTTTGTTATCTTCCTCTATTCGAGTTCTGATTATTGAGCCATTGAAGCTAGGTCAAATGGGTACTATCTGCAAGTTTGGGGATTCTTGTGCATCTCCCCTCACTTCATATTAGCTGGAGGCTTCACTCTCAGCTCTAGCCTTCTGTGGCTATGCCCTTGTCCATGAGCTCAAGTGTCCTCAGGTCTCACCACACCTTGGACCAACCAGCCCTTCCTCTTCTCTCTCTCATCTCCAGGTCAACTGAAGTCAATGGACTGTGGTTGAACTCAGCCCATTTCTTCATTGCTGCCTTTCCCCCTCTTCCACTCACCAGTAGACCAATGTGGTCATCAGCAAGTTTACATGCCTGTTTGTGTGTTCCCTTTGAGTTTCAGTCTTGGAGGGAAGTTTGTCCTGAAGGAACTTGATTGCTTGCCTTGATGGCTTCCCAGGGAAGAGCTTGTTTGTTCTTGTAGTAGCCAGTCATGCTGACATTTTTGTTTTGGGTTTTTCCTGATGATCTTTCTTTGAAGATGTTTCATCTGTTGCTCTAGCTGATCCAGACTGGTCTGCTTGTCCTTGCTAGTGGGAATGTCCCACCTCAGAAGGTGCTGGATGGGACTCAGGATTCTGCCTAAGGTCCTATACTCTGCAAAAGCTTTGCAAGAGGCCTATTTCACTGGGCAAGTTTTAGAACCCCTTTTAGGTATTCCAATCAGTTATAGGCTGAAGACAGGTTTACAGGTTTTCTATAATCATGTTTCCCAAGATTCCTTTCTATCCCACTCAAGTTTCTATTTTACAATAGTAGGCAAGAGAAACCAATATTCGTAAGACTGAAGCATTTTAGTATTCTTTCCCCTCTTTCAGCTATGCCTAGATCCCTGTATCACAGAGCCCTGTTGTTCCAAGGTTGAGCATGCATCACTATTTACCTCTGTGCCACTTAGACCATATAAACCTGTCTCAGGGTTCCCCTATCTATCTTGTTCTTTCACCTCCTCCCCCTTCTTGTAGTGCCCTCCCCAACACCAGAACTAAACCCTCCACCCCAATCCCACTGTTGTGTTTACTTTCTATTCTATTAACTCTTTCCTCCATTTAAGACAGTTTATTTTATCCTGTAATCTACCTGACTTTCCCACCACCTGGATCTCTGTTCCTCTGTGTTTACCTTCTTTCACATTGTAATTGTTTTGATCATAGACTGACCTCCCAGATCCTCTGTTCTTATAAGTTTATTCTGTTCTTGACTCTTCCATTTGTCTATTGAGTTCAGGGCAATGTTGCCATGTATATCATTCTCTCGTTGTTGTCTGTTCATGTTGGTTCTCAGTCCACAGAACTTCCTTTAGGATGTTTTTCATAGCAGGGTTGGCTTTGGCAAAATCCCTTAGCTTCTGTTTATCCTTGAATGTTTTATTACACCATCATATTTGATTGACAGCTTTGCTGGTTAGAGGATTCTTGGTTGGCAGGTTTTTTTTCTTTCAGAGTTCTATATATGTCTCCCTATTGCCTTCTTGCTTGCATGGTTTCTGTTGAGAGATCCGAGCTTAATCTGATTTGCTTGCCTTTGTATGTTACACTTCTCTTTTCCCTAGCTGCTTTCAGTGTAGTCTCCTTATCTTTGATTTTGAAGAGTTGCTTATTATATGTCTTGGTGATTGTCTTTTAGGGTCTATCCTTTTTTTGGGGTATGTTGTGCTTCTTTGATGCTTATTTTTTTGCTTTTCAGGATGTTAGGAAAATTTTCAGAGTTCTGGCAGCATCCCCTGAGCCTGCTTGGTCCAGTATTCTGTGTTGTTGCTGATGGAGCTCCTCACTGCATGTCTACCTGGTCCGCCATCTTGTTTGTTCCTCTGGAAGCAGCAGGCTTTTATGGCAGCCTGGTGAGCTCTAAGAAGGGCCCAGTGTATGCCTGGGTCCTGGAGACTGGTTAGCACCCAGAATAGGGATGCTCTTGGGGTTGGCTGCCAAGGAACTAAAGGGATGGTGTGGGGTCTCTGAACAGACCTCCTGTCAAGAAGTAGTCATCGCACTTGCCCAAGCAGTAGGCCAGCATCTGAGGGAGAAGGAGAGGCAGATGCTAACTCAAACCTGTGGCCAGTTTGCCAGTGACATACAGTTTGTCCTGAGGCAGACATGGGTCAGCCTGGCTGGGTAGCTCTCCTCTGACAGCTGCCTACCCCCCGAACGCTGCCCAGGTCATGCCAGCCTCCTCCCAGAATCCATGGTCAGTGCTGGGCCGGGAACCTGTGTAGGGTACCCTGAATTGGTCTCAAGCCCTGGGGTCTCTGATCCTGCAACCACTGTAGTGTTCCTGCTAGGCTGTGCACAGACCTGTGGGGCATGGAGCAGAGGGTGCAGAGAAATGCTACAGAGCTGGGCCAGGAGGCAAGAGCTTTGGGTGGAGCAGGCTCCAGAGTATGAGCGGCAAGCCTGTCTGCAAGCACTGAATACAGCCACTTTGGAGTATGCTGCCCAGCTGCAGGCTCTGGATGCCCGCACCCAAGCCCTGAAGGCTGAGCTGCAACTGGCTAGAGAGGTCCCTGGATCCCTGTTGCCCACAGCAGAGTGGCTTGGCTGCCCAGGAGCGGCAGAGCATGGATGTGCATGGCAGCCTGCTCCTGATGAGCCAGGTTCTGCAGGCCCAGGTCCAGGACCTGGAGGAGCTGAACTGGGAACTTCGCCAATGTATCCTGCCAGATAAGGGCCCCTGTGGACTCCCTGGAGTCCCATCCTAGTGCCCAACCTGAACCCCAAGGTGGCCTCCATGAAGCAAAACTCCTGGAGGTAACAGCTCCAGCCTTGAGTGGTGTCTACTGCCAGCCTGCCCAGTCCCAGGCTTTGGTGACAGCAAGTCCAGTCCCTCCAGGCAGTGGAGGGGGAATTGGCAGCCACAACAGGATCCTTTCTCAGGAAGCAAGAAGGTTGGCGCCCTGGCATGGAGACAGA